TGCGCGCATCACCCGTGTGATGGGCCGTGTGGTCCTTAGTGCGCTGCCCGGCACCCCCAGGGCACGCAGCAAGAGGGAGAAACTGGGGGGCAAAGAGATAGCCCCTGTCTGGATGTGTGCATGGCTTATGTGATGGGCCGTGTGGTCCTTAGTGTCCTGCCTGGCACCCCCAGGGCCCCGGTGCTGGGGAAACACACGCACACAGCAAGAGGGAGAAGGTGGGGGACAAAGAGACAGCCCCTGCCTGGCTGCGTGCATGTCCTGTGTGATGGGCGGTGTGGTCCTGGGTGCCCCAGCTGGCACCCCCAGCTTTCCAGTGCTGCATGCATGACTTGTGTGACGGGCAGTGTGTGTAACACGGGGCACACAGCAAGAGGGAGAAAGCAGGGGACAAAGAGATACCCCCAGCCCTGGCTGCGTATATCACCCGTGTGATGGGGCAGTGTGGTCCTGGGGGCCTCGACTGGCAGCTCCAGGTCCCTGGGGCAAGCAGCAGGAGGCAGAGTAGCGGGGCAAAGTGCCACCCCCAGCCCCGGCTGCATGCATGACTTGTGTGATGGGGCTATGAAGGCCTGGGTGCCTCGGCTGCTGCCCCTCAGGTTCCTGGCACTGAGGAAACCCAGAGCAAGCAGCAGGAGGAGGAGAGTGGAGGGCAAAGAGCCGCCCCCAGCCTTGGCTCCCAGGTGTGGCCTGTGCCCTGCTGGGGCTACGTGGCACTAGGTGTCTTGGCTGGCATCCCCCTGGGTCCCAGCAGTGAGGAAACCCGGGGCATGTAGCAAGAAGGAGAGAGTGAGGGGCAAAGAGCCACCCTTCAGCCCCGGCTGTGTGCATGACTTGTGCCCTCCTGGGGCTATGCACCCCTTGGTGCCTTGGCTGGCACCCCCAGGTCCCCGGTGCTGAGGAAAAGCAGGACACGCAGCAAGAGGGAGAGAGTGGGGGGCAAAGAGACACCCCTCAGCCCCAGCTCCCATGCATGACCTGTCCCCTGGCGAGGCTACAAGGCCCCCAGGGCTGGGTGGTTCCCACATACGGAGACCTGGGGGTGAAAACAACACCCGCCTAGAGCTGGCAGGAAGAACCGGGGGGCAAGGGAAACCGTGGCCAGGGCAGCCCACAAAGGTGCATTTTGCTGGCCCCGGTGCCGCTCTGGATAACAGCATGGGAGGCCAGGCCTTCCCATGGTAGTCAGGGCTTAGCACTGTACAGTAGCTGCCGGAGGAAGATCAAGCACATGCTCACATGCTGGCACCAGGAGTCTTGCTTGCCAGATACCACGTGCACCTTCCAATAGGACATTCAAAAAGTCGGCGTCTTTCAGGAGAGATTTACCCTGTTATTTTAAGTCTTTCCAACCTTAGAGTTGCCTGTGCAAGCTTTGCATTACCAGCATGAGTCACACGCCCAAAACTCACCCGCACAAACAAGTGCACACAAATCACCCTCATATTATATTCTGGCTGTCCGCAGACATCTTGGAGCACATGGCTGCACTGACAAAGACCCAAGTGCTATCAGAATATGCCACCTAGCGGCATAACCGGTTTAAAAAGGTCTAAGTTACTTCAAGCAAGCATTGGTCGCCTCTCCGTTTATGGAGCAGGCACACATTTCAAAAATGCTATTAGAAAGAGTCCCGCTGCATAAAGCCAGACATCAAGAATCTCTTAATTTAGATGCACACCACATCCTGGTGTATAATGACAGCAATCGTGCATGCAATGTCCTAGTTGGACGGAGCTTGCATACAAAAATGTGTTGTATACATTTCTCTTATAAAAAAAGAACGGTGAGGAGTTTTAAAGGGAATTAACGGCACGCCTAGTTTGCATCTGCAGCCAGAAATGCCATTTATGGGCCCAATTTCCAGAAAAACAATGCTCAGCACTTCCTGAATATCACGTCCCTTTTAGCATAGGTCCCCAAGAGCTGAGGCACTCCACAGCAATTCCTGAAAGGCTTTATGAAAGGTAAAAAAAACCTGCACCAATATTTCCTCCAATGATTTTTAAATGTCTTTATTCAAGTATTATACTCCCCTCACCTGCCCAATATTACACTTTTATCCTCCTTGGACAATTACATTTGATTATTTCAACTTCTGTAACTAAAGTTTTGCACATGCCCCCTAGAAGCAAAGATGCTGCTCATATAATTCACTTTCTAGTTCTTTCACAAAAAATTGAATTGTTGCAGCAGACGTTACAAAACCAGGAAACCTTACAAAACCTTTTCTTTTAGCTGGAAGCTAACCAACTTACAATTTTTTTTTATACATTCATAATTATGTAAAAATTCTAAAATATCTTCTTTTTTTTAACAATCCCCACCCCCTCCAAATTGACCTGCAAACCTGTAAGCATAGTTCTCTCTCTCGTGTTTAAAATCAGCCAAATCAACTGTGGATGCAGTCAGATCATCAGAGAAATTAAAGAAATGTCCCTTGCTAAGGTTACATTTTGAAAAGAGACTGTTTCTCCATGCAAGTTCTGAAGAGCAGCAAACAACTACCGACAACTCCGGTTTTGGGGGTGTTGGTTACAGCTGAAGAAGGGTGTTTGTGCCTGAAAGCTTGGACAGAACAATTTTTCCAACTATTTAGTTGATCTAATAAAAGGTATCACATTTACTCAGATAACCTTGTCGGTCGACAACTGAATTTGGCAGTTTTAAATTTTTTGTTTTAACCCTGCCAGTTTTGCTCTCCCCTGGGTAAATGACGTTTCAGCAAATCCAGATTGGGATTTACTTCAAGAAATGTTAAATCAAGATCCCGTGTGCCAGCTCCAGCTTTCTGTTCCAAGCACGGTATTAGTGAAATTACAACACGGGTAAAGCAGGAGCATCAAATGTCAAACAGAAGCAAACGGGACTGCCACAACAGATGCCACGACACAGCATACACCACCCCGGCACACCCCAGGCTCCCTGCAATGCAGTGAGGATCAATCAGATACTGGGTGTGCATGTTTAAATTCAATCGCACGGCTTCAACTGAACCACTTCTCAGTGGATGCTGTTCAACATCAATCGAGACGTTGCATTCTTACCAGGAGGAATCAAATTTGCTAGCATCAAGGACCAGAGCTCTTCTTCGGATTGCACTGTCCATGTCGCCGGCATCAATGACAAACGCTGCCCTTTACCCTCTCGGTCGAGGCTTTCACAAGCCTTCAGAGTGGTTCTTTGTAGCTTTTTCTTCGACCAAAACTTGTCCTGTCCATCCCATTTCCCGGGAATCTGTGCCTTCTTTTGCACATGCAGGACCTTGCTAAGAAGGAGTGAGGTACCGTGGCCCTCCCATGGCCTGTCAGATTTGAACGAGGCCTTATTTCTTCAACAAACTTGATGGAATGGATGCCAGACAGATCCATTCAAAGAGCAGACTGCAATCTAATCACAAAACTGCACTTCACTATTCCTAGGAGGGACTCCTTCCAATTAGTTTCAAGGTGAGCTGGTCAGGCAGTCCAGCCCCGAGAGCCATGAACCGAGGAGCTCCTGAATAGACTCTGCAGGCCTGGGACAAGGGACAGTACCTGGGGCAGAGGGACGTGCTTATACAGGCAGGTGGCCTTGGTTTTATGTTGAGCCCAAAAGTTTTAGGTGCCTGCCAGAGGGCATAGGTGCTTTTTATTAAGTCACAGTGGTGTTTGAGGGCAAGTTCAAGGCTTACTTGGAGAACCAATTACCTAGGATGGACTGAGAGTGGGGCCCAGCAGCAAGAGCAGGAGCCCAGGGAGCGAGGATCAGACGATCCACAAACCAAGACTCAGAAAGGGGCTGGGAGTGGGACCAGAAGAGGCAGGAGCCCAGGGCGAAGCTGAGAAAGTGGGACCAAAATAAGTCCAGAAGCCAAGAGAGCATCAAGGGTTGGACCAGAAAGTCCCTACAGGGGCCAAGAGTTGGACTAGAGGGTCTACAAGCCTGAGAGGGGCTGAGAGCCAGGTCAGAGGGTTCATGGGCCCAGAGAAGGGGTGAGAGGTGGACCAGAGGGTCCATGGGCCCAGACAAAGGCTGTGCGTGAGGTCCAACAACCTAGAGAGGAGCTGTGTGTGGGACCAGGAGGTCCGAAGGGACTGAGCATACGACCAGAGGGTCTGAGAGCTCAGGGAGTGGTTGTGTGTGGGACCAGGGTCTGAGAGCCCAGACAGAGGGGCTGAGAGGGGACCTGAAGGTCTGGGAGCCCAGAAAGAGGGGCTGAGAGTATCAAGGTAGTCCAGAGAGGGGTTAAATGGAACGATCCTCAAATGACAGAGAGTGATAACATCCATGAGGCATGGGGCATGGGGTAGGGAGGATAGAGCCATGCAATGGACCCTTAAGGCTACAGGTTTCCTGCACGGCACAGACAGGCCAGGAGGGCTGATTTCATGTGAAAGCTGAACTGAGAAAAAGGGGGTCCAGGAGGGACCCGGCAGTGATTTGTGCAGCCCCAGATTCACTCTAAAGCCCACAGGCAGCCTGCATTACGCTGTCTCCAATAAGAATAAGGTATGGTGGGCTAGTGACTGAGGGAGGGCTACAAGGGAGCCTGGGTCAGGCAGGGGCCATCACAGCTGCCCCTGTGGCTTGCACCTGCTACAAATATTATCTTTTGCCTGCTAAGCCAACTACAAGGTTATCTTATTCCCATCTACTCCGAATGGCCAGGAGCAACTCCAAGGAGAGTGCTCCTCCATGGACCGAGCCAGATAACCCCAAATTCTGGCCCTAGATCTGAATCAGCTCCCCCTGCAACCCCCCATTTCCACAAGCATATAATTAAATCCCACTGATTGCAATTTAGCTGCCTGTGTTTCAAGTTAAGCACACGCTCAAATCTTTTGCTGAATTGGATTCTTAATTCTCTGCAGCTGTGTCTTATTTATATAACTGGGAAAATACTTAATTCATAACAGAGATATTAGGTCTCATTTATATAGTGCTTTATCTCTTCAAATCACTGTATGCAAGTAGTAATATTAGTTCTGACCACTAACTTATTAACTCTGCTCAGGTCTCTAAATTATACTGCAGAATCTTTGAAGAAGATTTAATTATCTAATCAATCCTCCATGTGCTAATGCTCAGACATACTGAGGTTGTCTCATCAAAAGGGCCTCCAACAGAAAGGCAAATAATTACCTGTATTAGAAGTAAACTGGCCATTGAATTAAGAGCACACAGGTTATTTCTAACATTTATGAGAAGAGCTGCCTTGAACATAACGGTAAGAGTCTACAGTAACCAAATCAAACTCATTTTCTAAGATACATCTCAGATGTAGTAGCATAATGTCTCTAAGGGATTTTAAGGGAAACTATCTAACCAGTAACTTAATTTCCTCTTTTACATCAGAAATGGGATCCTATTGGAATTAGTTTGCATACAGAATCCATGTAACAGCTAGATCATCAACGAGCAAAGATAAGACTGAGTTTTGAAATCTGTTAAATGTATTATTAAATGTCTATTAAAGAATCAGTTCTTCCATGCACCTGGAAGTTAAAAAAAAAAAGGCAAAAAAAAAAAAGCCTAACTCAGTATGTGTGTGTGTACCAGATAAAAAATGACCTAACCATTGCAAAGTATAAAGTGGGAAGCCCAAAAAATAGAGTTGTATCAATAATCCTTAGAACACTGGTTGTTATTAAAAGAAATCAAATATGCAGTATAAAAAGGAGCAGAGCTGACAGTTGCTTTGGGCAATCTGTACCGTTAAGTCTGGAAGGAAACAGTCGAGTACAGATATTCAAAAATGACAGTCCTCTTTGGGGCAGCTTGTTTCATGCAGCCCAACAGGATAATGAAGCATTAGATATTCTTCAGTCCAGACTGCCTCCATACAGCGAGCTTCATTATTTCGCCGTTCCAATTACAACGCAGCTCAGTAGAGTCTTTCATAGTTTTCAAGCATCACAAGTTTTGCCATCCAATTAGACTCTATTCAGGATGAACCAATTCATTCTTAGGGCTGAATTAAAGTGTGTTCTTGACAGAAAAGCTTCCAAGGTTTCCCCCCTCCTGAAAACATATAGATCTGAATTACCCAATGAAATATGCACACAAATTCTATTGTGTTACACTTTATTGCATAGATGCACACTAATTTAACAGGTTTAAAAATATAGCAGCTGAAGCTTTCTTTACATCAAGTAAAGAATCAAAAGGATAGTCCCTGTTACCAAACATGCTCATAAAGCCAATGCAATAAGTAGATTATAATTAGGAACACAACATATATATGAATATATGTTAACATATGTAGCACAAGAATGGCCAAGAAAATGAGAACGCTCGAAGAAAAACAATGCAGAATCTGATCACATAGATCATGAGCTGAAATTTAAGACATTCACATTCAAAGCATATAGAATATAAAAAAAAATATGACAGTGTAATAAGGTACAACAACAGACCTAAATATTTAGGGATTGCTAACGTACTACGACCCCAATATTCTGATAACAAAAGGAAATCAAGACAATCTACATGTATATGCATTTTCAAGCCTAGAAGGATTCAACACAACCCGACGTAAAAAATATATATATAATGCCACTCATCTAGAAGAAAGAAAGATGGAAAATAAATCGGTTAAACATGAAATGCTAGCTTGTGCCTTCTGTGACGTTGATATATGCATTAGATATTTTACTGCCAAAGGCAGCCTGACTTTCTTAAGCCACCAAGCAGTTTGGTTTTCTTTAGTATGATACTTAACGTGCAGCGCAACCCCCTGTACTGGGGTTTGCTCTGTTTCGACACACGAATCTGAAAATGAGACTGCATTCATACTGACTTCGAATCAGAGGACTGAAAGGGACCTTAAGGGTCCAACTCCCCGCCTGAATACAGGAATGCAGTTGTTATCCTTATTTCAACCCCCCCTACCTCAACATCAGTTCTGACACAACCTTTATTCTGAAATAATGAATGCCCCAGAAATCCCTCCCATCTACTCTGGAGCAGAACAGCACACTTCCGAAAAAATAAAACATCCGCTACCTATAGTTGCATTAAGTGACAAAGACGGTCATCGTGCAAATTGTACATTCACGCTGTTCTGCTTTGCCGCTTGACACAATTTAGTTGACTTGGGCAACAGACTTATATCTGCCTCGCAAACCACTGCACACAAATTAACTACAACCCAGCTGACAATCACGTCGGCTGCTTTTCATCAGGAGCCTGGACGAGCGATGGGAGGAATGATGGTCCATCTGCCACTGCATAAACCAAGCTGCTTTCCCTAATTCAACATCATTTTGCAAGGCCGGCATCCGCACACAGGGAAACTCATACAAACCAAGTCTCTGGTCATTTTGTGAACAGGCAACAATTTGCTTTGCAGTTTTAATACCTTTCTCTCTCAATCACAGACGCACAAAACCCTAACGTGTAAATACAGACACAGAGAAAAGTAGCAGCAACCTAACCATTACAGTGAAATCCTTACGAGACCGCTATCGTGCAAACGAAATAAAACCAAACCCTTCAACGCTGAAATCTGCTTCCGCACTTTTTGAGCTCATTAGAGCTTTGAAGACATAACTGGAACTTAGATCCTGATGGAAATACCTGCTGAAGGTGCGAGTACAATTGTTTTGTACGTTAACCCCACTAAAGTGAACTTGAGCATAATCATTCGAGAGGATAAGAATCTTTTGTCTTAACAGCACGCTTTTGGAGACAATATTTCCATACGATTAGAAAACACTTCAATAGAGCATGATATCTGGGCAATACATCTGCATTTGGCCGGTGGTGAGCTAGGTCCAAATCCCCACACTGTGAAAGGCTTGCAGATTACTGAGCATTTATACCATAAACACCATCAAAACCCAAAATTAGATTTTAGCAACTATATCTGCCACTAGAGCTAGATCAAGTAGTGCAACAAGTTTTGCAAATCAGAAATGAGCAAGAATTTGCTAAAATTCCTCAGGAATACACGAAGGACACTAAAATAGTTACATCTTGGATATGAAATCAATCTAAAACCACCAAAAATCTGTTCATTTAAAAAAAAAATACCCTGTCATTTAAAAGAGAATTTAAACCACTAACTAGCTAAAAAAGATAACTTAATCAACAGTTTTCTACCGACTCTAAATGATCTCATATCCT